CTTTTGCTGGCATGTTTTTGTATCTTTTGTGTCGGTCACAGCCCCTTGTTCTGATGGCCATTTTCTTTCTGCTGGTTTCCCGGCGTGGCCACCAGGGCGATGTGGCGGTTTGTTTACATGCGCCTGGGGGTGTGAGCGAGCGTCTGGGGTGAGTTTTTTCACCTCTTTCAGGGGTTTTATTCTTCTGTTGTCGTTTCTTTGCTTTTCTGGTGTTTTCTGCCCGTCTTCTGTTCCTCTGGGAACGTTTGGATGTTGGTTTTTACACCGGGTTTTCCGTTTTCTGTCTGTTTTGGGTCTGGGCCCTAGGGTTTGGGCTCAGTGTTCCTGTCTATGCTTGCTCCCACACCTTGTTCCTCGGTTTTTGGTCTGTTTTGGCCGTTTCCCTGGGGGTTCTGTCTGGGGGGCTGTGCCTTACTTTTCTGTGGTGTATATCTGCCGGCAAATGTGGTGGTTTGGGCTCCCCCGGGTTCGATTCTGGGTTCTTTTGGGTTCTTTTGTTTCGTTCCAGAGGTTTCTTCCTCTTGGGCTCTTTTGTGGGTTAAAGAGGTTTTGTTTCCTCGTGTGTGACCCAGTTCTGCCTTCTGGAGTTCCGGGCTCTTCCTGTCTTGCAGGCCGATCTTTTTGGGTCCTGGCATGTGTTGTTGTCGTGCCGGGTCGGATTTACAGCCCTCCCTCACTACATCATCTTATTCGCCAACATTGCCCCTCCCACCATACTGTTATTGATTTTATTACACTATTTACACATGTTATATATATCTATCTACATGTTTTATTTACCAGAACTATGCAAGTAAGCCGGTATAGTGTCCAAATAGTACAGTTGCTACCATACACTGCATGAGAAATCACACAGCAGACGACGCTACGATTACGACGTCACCTCCCTCACCAAAATAGCTCCTGGGCAAAGTTTCTTTCACCCTGAATGCCCCTGTTACCTAGCAGTAAATAGGTACCTGGGAGTTAGTCAGCTGTCACGGGCTGCTTCCTGGGGGTGGAGGCCTGGTCGAGGACCGGGCCGCGGGGACACTAAAGCCCCGAAATCATCTCAAGATAACCTCAAGATATAATAGGTTAAGTAATAATTGTAATTACGAAGCAATAAGATGCTTATCTTAACATACTAAGAAGGTTAGGTAAGGTCGGTGTTTTCTATGAAGCTTTTCAAGGTAAACTAGTATGTTTAGTATGTCACATATGCACGTATTTAATAAGTCAATATTGACTATACGAAAGTGCGAGAACGGATTGGTTCCCCATAGTGAACCATGAAGCTAGTATGGTGAGCAAAACAAGATTGGTTGCCACACAGTGAGGCTACCTCAATTCTCTCCGTTCCTCCCTCCCTCACCAAAATTCCTCCTTCCACAATACTATGCACAATGCTAATTATAACCACAATCCTGGTCACTAATTCCTGCAAATGAATAATTGACCACAAGTTTATTTTGAAAAGGAACCTAAGAAGTTGTTTGAAGATTCCTGGATGGATGAAATAATGCTGTGATGCTGTAGCTAGCGCCATGAACATTGTGAACAGCATTGAATCACTGATATTTGAACATTGTGCGCAGTCATTATCACACTCAGGCTCTTCTATAATACTATCATGGCTAAATAATACAAGTTATGTATATATTTTGACATTACTAGGCGATGCTGTGGTCACACGCTGAACAGCAGTGCTGTGCGCTCATGCTGCGAGCATCAGCCTTAGTTGCTCACTCTCTACCAAGTCTCTCACACCTGGGAATGTAGACCATGATTTTTTGTAAAGATGGTGTCTGTTTACAAGAGCCTTGAGGAAACTGATGTGAACCCCATGTAGCCGCGGGAGTTTTGAATGGAACGTGAAAAATACAAATACCTGGGGGCGCGTAGCGCACCCCCAGACGTGGGCCTGCAGGCGCGTTGCGCAGTTAAAGGGTTAAGAACATACTTTTTGTAAAATAATTTATGTTCTTATCAAATTTATAATGCTGTTGAAACTGGGTTGTATTGGAGGAGTTTACCAGAAAAAACTCTAGCTATGAGGAGTGAGGGTTGTGTGCCAGGCCATAAGGTTAACAAGGACAGGCTGTCGGCCATGATGTGTGCGAATGCCGACTGCACAGACCGAATCACATGTGCAATTGTTTGCAAATCAAAGAAACCAAGAGCCTTGCAACATTGCTTGGACAAACTGCCTGTGAAATATTATAACTCAAAGAATGCATGGTTTACACTGATCTTTCATTCTTGGTTTCATGATGTGTTCTGCATGGAAGTTCATGACCATCAAGTTAAGAAACTCTAAAGTGAGGCCAAGCAAAGTTCGGGCTTTGCTGCTGCTTGATAATGCGCCTGCCCACCCTAGAATTGACATGTTAACCTCACATGATGGCAAGATAACGTGTATGGCACTTCCTCCTAATACAACCTCTCTCATCCAACCTATGGATCGGGGAGTTATCTGTGCCACGAAGAGGTTGTACACCAAAAAGATGCTCAACGAAGTTTTGGTAATTTTTCCTCTTCCGGAAGATGTGACACTCGGTGTGAATAACCGGGCTAAAAAAACCTGGAAAATTTGAAGAACTGTACAATCAAGGAACCCATCTATAACTGGGCCAAGGTGTGGGGTGAAGTAAAGGAATCGACTTTGAAAAATTCCTGGAAAAAACTCCTCACGTCTACGGTCAGCAATGAGGAGGATGAAGAAATGAATTTTGAAGGATTTGCAGATGAAATCCGTGGAATGTTCAGAATTGCTGGCAAAAATTTGAACACAGGATGTGGTTGATTGGCTTGAAAGAGATGCTAATGACCCAGGATATGGTGTGATGAGTGAAGACGGGATTCTCCAGTCTATTACTGGTGAGGTCGACGAAAAGGAGGAGGATGAAGAAGGCAGTGAAGAACCAACACCACTGACCACAAAATACAGTGTACTCATGACCTATGTTGACGGATTAATTCATTTTTCTAATATCAGTACCTGAGGCGAACCAAAGAGCTGATCATGCAACAGGCCAACACACAAGGCAAGCTAAACTTGATTCTTATATGGTAAGAAAATCAAGCGCCTTCAACCAGTGAGGCGTCACAGGCAAGCCAAGCGCCTTCAACCAGTGAGGCGTCACAGGCAAGCCAAGCGCCTTCAACCAGTGAGGCGTCACAGGCAAGCCAAGCGCCTTCAACCAGTGAGGCGTCACAGGCAAGCCAAGTGCCTTCAACCAGTGAGGTCTCACAGGCAACCTAAGTGCCTTCAACCAGTGAGGCTTCAGCAGCTGGCAGTCAAAACTAACTTTGTGTACGTACGATTATGTTACATTGTTGGGTAGATTAGATATAATGTGTTTAGTGAGTTTCATATTTATTTATTAGTCCTGGATACAGCAGTGTCATAGACGTTGAGACGGAGCATGGAGCAGAGCAGAGAGCCGAGTGTGGCCGGAGTCGCGGAGCTCTATGTGGGAGAGCGTTGTAGCTCGATGCGGTCCTAGTCTGCTGCCTTTTCTGTGTCGAAGCTGTAACGTCTTGGATTCGATTAGAACTGCCTACGCTGAATGCTACATTCTTGACTGGAAATTGTACTGTTCTCTATTCTCATATTGCTTCCTTATATTTGGTGACTACCCCTCACCTTTCTCTACTAGGATAGGAGGATGTGAGAACTGTTATCTGTAATTAGAGATAGGATTATAGCTTGTGTAGTTAGTGCTAATTAGTTACGCCATTAAGATAATGAGAAAATGGAGCGAGAATAAGGATTACTCGCTACATTTGCTTCGTGAACTGGACAGTAATTTTAACACTTTGGCGTGCCCAGCACGCCACCCCTCAACTATGCGATTTGGGTCCCAGCGTTTCATGGGAGCGCGCGTTAATTCTAAAAGTGTATCTTCAACTTTGTCACCTTAATTCTCGTCCTACGAGATTAAATTTGGTATCATTGTGTTCGCAATGGAATTCTCTACAGCACTAAATGCATATAAACTCCAAAAGCCCGGCTAATTACCCGCAGCAAACAGAGAAAGTGCGAACGAGTTTCCCAGGAGCTCGCAAAAGCGATAAAATGTGTTCACTCTGGTCACCTCGATTTTCGTCCTAGGTCTTTCATTTTGGTATCAATGGGTTCCCAATAGAATTCTCTAGAGGAATATTAGCATATAAAATAAAAAACCTGGTCACGTTCCACCCGCTGACGAGTTGAAGACGGGCCACACGTTAACCGCGAGTGAGCGCCAGACGCCTTCCAGCTACACTCCCAATTCCTACCCACAAATGTTTAGTATTTAGTATTTTAGTATATTTAGTATTATAGTTTAGTATTTTTTGTGTAGTAGTTGTACATCACATAAGCATTGTAGATAGACAATTGCACAAAATAGAAGGTCATTTTCTTGTCCATTTGTGAGTTTTCCATATGAAGTGATAATATTTGATCATTTGGTCAAAGTGATCAACACCTTTCATGTTTGTATTGTAGTCACAGATTGCATTCGGCTTGTTGACAGTTACCAAACAGTCCCCCAAAAATCGGATAAAAACCTGATTTTTGGTGATTATTTTAGTGGACGACGCAGCATTGCGTCATCCCCGAGATTACCGACAGTAAACGGATGACACAGCATTGCGTCATGCCCGGGCGAAAGTGTTAAGTGTTAAATTTAGTATTGTGTTAGTATAGGTTAGGTAAATTGTCAAGAATTCTTATTTTCAAGATGTGTAGCATCAGTCAAGAAGACGAACAACAGCAAGGTAAGTTGAGGTTTCTAGTTGAATATTTTGTAATTATATGTGGCAAGGCAATTCAAATTATGTTGTTTGTGGTGTAAAAATGGTTGGAAATGGTCACTTTTGGAATCAGAGGTGAAAAGTATGTTAATTCAGAAAACGTGATAATCCGGCTGGGGGTCCTCCCCATATAGTCCGGATTAGCGAGTGGAGACAGTATTTTGTTTTTTGTATATAATTTATTACTCATAAAAATACTGGAATTTTTTTCCCAACAGGAATTGAGTAAACAAATAGATGAATACACAACTACGTATGAACCAGAAGACCAGCTGGAGTGGTCGCTGGTACTAGCCGAAATTAAGTCGTTCATTGATGCTGACAATACCATTAATGTCTTGGATATGGACTCAAATACCATAGTGCTTTCCCACAGGTAAGGAACCTTTATATAAACTCAATGGAAGGGGAGTGCAGTGAAGCATGCATGGACAGGATGATGTAGAAACATTGATACACAGATGGATAAAATAAGTCATTTCTGTTGGGAAGCTCCTTTGGCTCCCTGAAGCTATCCAAACTGATATGTGCAATATTAGTTTGGGATCATCAGTCATGGGAGTTCTTGTGCCTACCGGGAAACATGATCCAGAACCTGGTCCCCTCAGAGAGGTGCGGGGATGCAATGGCCTATGAGCACTCTACATTTAGAGTGTCATACTTGCCATTGACCGATTTTAGCACCCAGAATGATAAGTGAATCAAAACAAACCACTTGCCGGTTAACCCTTAAACTGCTAAGGGCTTTTTGACCTGCAGCCCCGCTAGGCACAACAACAAAAAATTAAAAAAAATTCTTTTGTCTTATAAAAGTGTTCATTTGTGTTCCCTGGTCATGAGAAAAAGAATAAAAAAATCGTAGGTGACATATTTTGGCCGCAATAGGGCGGGAAAGTCTTGCAAAAAAACCAGCGTTGAATGTAATGAAATGTGATATTCTGGATGAGACCCAGAGGCTCCCCGGAGGTATACCGGGCTGATGTGTATATATTAGACTGTGGTAACAGTCAATTGAGGGAGTTCTAGGCCTACTGGACACCAGAGCCAGAACCTGGCCCCCTCAAGAGAGGCACGAGGAGCAATGGCCTAAAGACACTCCCGTGTAATTGGAAGCAGTCTTTGTCTGCCATCTACCAGGTCAGGCACCCAGAAAGGTAGGAATCACAAAACAAACTACTGCTGGTCAAAAATTGCAAACCAAAAGCCGAACTAGCAAACAGAACTCTCCAATTAAAAACAAGGAAACAAACATGACATCACCACAACTGTCGCGCATCTGTCTGCGCAACCCCGCCCTCCCCGGGAGGGGGAAGTCCCATACCTCCGTGCCAGTAACACTCCTCAGTCAGAGGCCGAGTATCAAAAATGCGTAAAACCGCCAACCGGAGGGAGGGATGCCGGGAAGCCTCCAGGTCTCGCCCAGAAAATGGCGTTTCATTACATTCAACGCTTGTTTTCTGTGGAGAGCCCCTTCGGCTCCCCGGAGCTACCTAACCAAAGATAATTAGAAAAGGGACTCACCCGGGAGGGTGTCGTCACTCGCTCCTTAACTCAAAGTCGAGACAACAGGCCGCAACCTGCGACTCAAGGCTATACACGCCTGAGAAGGACTAGGAACATTAACAAGGAAACGTGCAGCCAGGACCCTGTTCGACCTCCAATAGCCCCGTGCTCCAAAAATAGGCCAGGACATTACCAAAACAGCATCTGAATCCTGAACTTACAAACGGCGTGGGCACGGGGAAAGACCGCAGGCTGGCTGGACCGAATAATCCTGTGGACAACCTGGATGACCCTCTCCCTGGAATTATGGAAGAAGTGGAAACTGGGTCAACCCAAAGCGCGTCCTTTGCCACAGAGGGCGTAACATGCAAATAACGGCGAAGAGCCACAGACACAAAACGTGGTGCACCCCCGGCCGAACCAACCAAGCATCAACAACCCAAGGACCCCTCCGGACAACAGCAAACTCCTTCTTTGCCAGAAAAGGAGGAGACGGCTGCAAACGAAGAAAAGACTACCAGGACTGAAAGACCGGAAACCCCTGTGCTGGAGGAGAGCACGAAACTCCCTGACCCAACCCCCAGAGGCCAACACCAACAAAAAAAAAAAAAAAGAGCCATAGAAAACAGTCCTGAACTGAGGGGGCCACCTGAAACAGAGAAGGGAGCAGAGAGCACCGGTGCAACGACCAGGACAGTTCAGGCAGCGCATGAGCAGGCCGGAGGTGAACATCGCCTGAGAAAGCTTGTGGAATGGAGCAGAAGTGACATCCACCCTAAATGCAAGCTACAGCGGCTCTGCCAGCACCACCCAAAACGAGGCGACAGTATCTGGCATAAGAATACGGTCCTGAAACAACCAAGAGAGAGAGGATATAACCCGACCAGAAATCGAAGACAACCTATGAAGAGACAAGTGCCAAAAAGACCGCCAGAAAATTTCATACTGCCTTCAAGATGAAATATGCAGGTGGGACAGCAACTAAGCCACCTGATCACCATACAAGTGGTGATAAACCCACGTTAAAAAGACCATACACGAGAAGCAGAGAAGATCGAGCCAGCCATGTACTGGAATCGTCCAATCTGCTGAAAGAGGCTGAGCCGCAGGAAACTCGCCCCAGGAAACCTGAACGACTGTAGTCAACTCTTGCCATTCAAGTTCGCAGTCCGACAGGACTGCGAACAAGCCAAGCCCTCAACGAAAGAAAAGGCAGTCTGCCAGCCAGGAAGACTCCGGCACCTTGCAACGCACCCATGAAGGAAAAAGAGGAGCCAAACTCAAAAGAAGGCTTCATTATCAAGGCGTAATCCGGGTCTCACATGAGGTTAGCCGTAAGGGCCTCCCACACCTTCCAGGAGGAGGGAACCGAAGAACCCAAGGGAACTTGGAACCGAACCCGAGAAGGAGTCGAACTCTTGACAAAATTGTACAGGGAGGGGATAGGAAAACCTCTTACCCTGTAACAACAAGCCCCACACCAAGGGTACTGAACACTCAGAGACAAGTGGGGCCCAGGGCCCCCTCCCCCCCATGACAACTCCTCCCCAGCCCCGGAATCCTCCACGTCAGGACCGGCGTCCTTCAAACCCTCTGCTTGCTTCAAACGTCTGCTTGAGAAAAGCAGAGTCCACCGGAAAAGCAGGGATGAAGGGGGAGCGCTGGTGTGGTCCAAAAGCTCAGGCAGGAGAACCAGGCTCGAATGCCTCCAACGCCGATCCGGAAAGGGCAATCCCCACAGCCGCCCGAGTTACACTACCAGTATAATTCAGCGGGGCAGCTGTGGGGCATCCAGAAAGGCAACCAACCTCGCACGTTGCTGCAACCTAAACCTCGCATGCAATGCTAAAGCTGCCTGCACCCGAAAATCAGTCTCTGTGGACTGGGTGAATGGAGTACAAGAAAAGAACACCTCTCGCAGGACTCCGGGTCATAGGTGTCACTGACCCTAACAGGCAGCAAGGCAGAGGCAGACGGTGAGTGTCACCCTGAGACAAGGGGACAGAGCAACCTTTAAACTCGCTCAAGGCGAGGTGGGACTCAGAGGTCTCCTACATTGGACCAATGAGCCCCAAAAGGGGTTTCCAGGGACCCTTTGGCTGACTGCTAAGGGAAGCCTAGGCGAGGTACTGCTAACCAGTTATCACAGAGCTACCAAGTGAACAACTAAAAGCTGAACCCCTGCGATGTGTGCAAGCATGGAACCTAGTGGAGGGCCACCAAAATCCTACAAGTAGTCCTACCACCACGCCAGGCAAAACAAAACAAACACAAGAGAAAACCCCTGCAAAAGCACAACGTCTCCAGGTGAACAGAACCGGTCGCTATGCAAATATTAGACAGGTGCACAGTACCTCGTACCCCAGCCAGCAACAAAACTACCTCCTACCCAAGGGCAAACAGGAGTAAGAACCTCCTCAGCTGAACCCCCAAGGGCGGGCAATCATCGAGCAGCGTTAGAACCACACGGAGGTAGCTGCTCCTGAACGGCTCATGGAAGATAACCTTGAGGCCGCAAAGACAGTACTTATGGGGCACCTAGGTGCATGCAGCCCTAGTACTCTTGTGTTACTTCCAGCTCACACGCTACGAAAACAGAGCAACAACACCGCACACCGCACTGCGCAAAGAGTGGCGCCAGAGCGATCGACCGTCACCAACACAACAGCCTCTTGAACTGAGGAGAATTGCCGGCATGGAGGTCTGGGATCCTCCCATCCCTCTCCCCGGGAGGGAGGGGGGTTGCGCAGACGGATGCGCGAGGGTTGTGGTGATGTCATGCTTGTTTCCTTGTTTTTAATTAGGGAGTTCTGTTTGGTAGTTCGGCTTTCGGTTTGCAATTTTTGACCAGCAGTAGTTTGTTTTGAGATTCCTACCTTTCTGGGTGCCTGACCTGGTAGGTGGCAGACAAAGACTGCTTCCAATTATACGGGAGTGTCTTTAGGCCATTGCTCCTCGTGCCTCTCTTGAGGGGGCCAGGTTCTGACTCTGGTCCCTGGTAGGCTTAGAACTCCTTCGATTGACTGTTGCCTTGGTCTAATATATGCATATCAGCCTGGTATAGCTCCGGGGAGCTGAAGGGGCTCTCTACAGAAAAGAGGCGTTGACGCAGCAAGAATCGGTGGCGGTCTGCTCCACCCGAGCTGTCAGGAAAGAGTTGCCACAAAGATGTTATCTGGATGTTTTGGTCACCATAACGAACCAGTAAGTTTGTATTGCGAGTCAAAAAGCAGCGAGGAGTGGCCGGCACGCCAGCCAGCCAGCCACTTGCCGCCACTCCCTTCCTCACCTCACCTCACTCGCCAGCCTTCTCCTCCCACCATACTGTTTTTTATTTTATTCACTATTTACAGACATTATATATAAGTATCTACATGTTTTATTCACCATAACTGTTCATCTAAACCAGTATGGTGAATTCAGGCAATAACAGATGTCACCACACAGTCGGCTAACGTTCCCTCCTCTCATTCACCTGTTCAAGGCCAAACACACTAACATTCCTCCTCCAACAGTATTATTTGTTGTGTTATTACGCTATATGCACATATTATATATAAGTATGTACATGTTTTATTCACCATCACTGTACAACTAAGCTGATATGGTGCCCAAACAGCATAGTGGCCACCATACACTGCATGACAAGTCATGCAGATGACACCACTTCCCTCACCAAAATGGTTTCTCCCAACATAATCCTTTTGCTGTTATTATACTATAAACAAACATTATTTATATAAGTATCTACACTTGTGTTCACCATAATGAACCACTAAGCTAATATAGTGAGTCCAGACAGTAAAAAGTGGCGCCACAGTCAGCACTGGATGCTACCTCCCTCCCCACCAAAATTACTCCTCCTACCATAGT